GGCACTCAGCAGTTAATTGCTGGTATCGCCATGATTTTGCTTATAATACTGCACCACAAGCATACATCACCACAGATTCACCTACAAATACTAAATGGTTTTTGGACTCTGGAGCCACCGAGCACCTTACCTCCAACCCGACTCAGCTGCATAACACTCAGCCGTATACCGGATCATCTCAAGTGCAGGTTGGTAACGGTCAACAGCTTCGCATTGCAAATACTGTCCAAGGCTTATTACCCACCCCGTATCGTAAGCTCCACCTTCCTCACATCCTTCACGTTCCTAAATTATCACACAATTTACTCTCCATTCATAAGCTCACTAATGATAACCTCTGTTATGTGCTTCTTGATTCTCATGGTTATGCTATCAAGGACTCCCGGACCAATATGACACTTCTCCACAGACCCAATCGTCATGGCCTATACCCAATTAGATCATCATCTTCCTTCCAGTCTCGGTCATCTACTGCTTCAGCTTTACTTGCCTCAACACAAGTCTCCTCCCTATGGCATCAACGATTGGGACATCCATCAGCTGCAACTCATAGTCGTTTAGCATCTAGTTTCTCTAGTATTACTAGTCCTACTTCTCATCATTGTACTGCTTGTTCTCAAGCAAAGTGTACTAGGCTTCCCTTCTCGTTATCTACTTCTACTTCTACCAAGTGTTTAGAACTTATTCACAACAATGTATGGGGTCCTTCTCCATTTCTATCAATGCAATCTTACCGTTATTATGTTATATTTGTGGATGATTTTAGTCGTTATTCTTGGATATATCCATTACATAACAAATCTGAAGTTTGCTCTGTATTTCTATAATTAAAATCACTTGTAGAAAATCAATTTCAAGAATCCATTAAAATTCTTCGCACTGATCGTGGCGGAGAATATGTAAATAAAACTCTTCAAACTCATCTACAAAATTTTGGCATAATACACCAACTATCGTGCCCCTATACTCAACAAAAAGGCATTGCCGAACAAAAACATCGCCATCTCCTTGAGACGGTTCGGGCTCTACTGTTCAATGCCAATCTCCCTTCCAAATTCTGGCTCGAAGCTCTTACTACTGCTCTCTACTTGATTATCAGACTGCCCTCCTCCAACACACATCATGTCTCTCCGTATGAAATTCTTTATCAACGCCCACCTGATTACAATCATCTACGTGTATTTGGTTGTTTATGTTACCCACTTTTCAACTCACATCTCTCTCACAAACTAGCACCGAGATCTAAACCATGCATTTTTCTTGGCTATGCTCCAAACACAAAGGGATATAAGTGTCTTGATCTCCAATTATCTACTGTCTATGTCTCTCGGCATGTACATTTTCATGAGTCTATCTTTCCTTTCAAATCAATTTCATCCACCTCTACACCAGATCCCACACCAACAACTCCACATTATACTCCAGCTACTCTGATTCCCGTTTCCACTATACATCCTGCCCCGTCCCATAATTCACCTATAACTTCCAACACAAACTCTACAACAGCTGCTCCGCCTACATCTTCAACAGATGTCACACCATCTACTTCCTCACCTCAACTTACTTTCCCATCCACATAACCTACGCCTCCTCCTAATTTAGTTGGTTCCCTAAATCCTAAGCATACCATGGTTACAAGAGCATAAACCGGACACCTTAAACCAACAAAGATTTTTGATCTGCAACATCTTCTTATTCCTATTGCCCCTACTAGATTTTCACAAGCCTCTAAATATGCTGTGTGGAGAGATGCAATGAGTCGGGAACTAGAAGCTCTACAAAATCAGGGGACATGGACACTTGTGCCATTACCTTCGGATGCCACTGTGTTGGGCTCCAAATGGTTATACAAAACTAAATATCATGCCAATGGTTCAATTGCACGATACAAAGCTCGCCTCGTCGCGCAAGGTTTCAAGCAGAAATTTGGCATAGATTACAATGAAACCTTCAGTCCTGTTGCTAAATTTCCCACAATTAGACTTCTAACCATAGCTGTTACAAAGGATTGGCCTATCCTTCAATTAGATGTCTCTAATGCCTTCCTTCATGGCAAACTTCAAGAGACCGTTTATATGAAGCAACCTCCAAGCTTCATTAACAAACAATATCCAACTCATGTCTGTTTATTAAAGAAAACACTTTATGGCCTTAAACAAGCGCCGAGACAGTGGTTTGCAACCTTTTCTTCTTATCTTATTCAGTATGGGTTTTGATCCAGCACTACTGATCCATCACTTCTCTTGCTTCATAAAGACTCTGTTCAAATCTACATTCTAGTCTATGTAGATGACATTTTGCTCACTGGCAATTCCTCTCTTGAGTTGGATAAACTGTTACTTGCCTTACAATCCAGGTTTTCTATGCGAAATCTTGGTCGATTGCATCACTTTCTTGGCCTGCAGGTCTCTTACAACCCGGACGGTCTCCATTTAACACAATCTACCTATGCAATTTAGATTCTACAGAAGGCAGCAATGGCGGACTGCAAACCTGTTCTCACACCTTTGCCAACCAAATTTGCATCATCTCCAGCCTCCGAAACTCCTTATGACCGTCCAGATCATTACAGGCAAATCACCGGAGCACTTCAATACTTGACGATCACTCGTCCTAACCTCTCCTATGTCGTTAACTATCTATGTCGACATATGAACAAACCTCTCACAGTCCATTATCAACTCCTTAAAATAGTTCTCCGGTATATCAAAGGTAGCATTTCGCTTGGACAGCCTATACTTCGATCTGCTCTTGAACTTACAGGATTTGCAGACTCAGACTGGGCCACTGATCCAGTTAACCGACGCTCGGTAACCGGGTATTGTGCATTTCTCGGCTCCACCCTTATTTCATGGACTGTTAAGAAACAGTCCTCTGTTGCTAGATCCTCTACGAAAGCAGAGTATAGAGCTCTCTCTACTGCTGCGTGTGACATCATTTGGCTACGGCAGTTGCTAGCAGAATTTCAGATTCCACAAGCTGCTCCTACAAAGTTATACTGTGATAATGTTTCCGCTCTTGCACTAGCAAACAATCCAATTTTCCATGCAAGAACTAAACATATTGAAATTGATTTTCACTTCATTCGTGACTGTATCCGGTCACAATTTATCACAGTTCACCACATATGCTCCCAGGATCAACCAGCCGATATCTTCACAAAAGCCCTGAGCTCGACTCGGCACTCGTATCTCATCAACAAGTTGACAATGCAGCTTCCCATTGTCACCTTGAGGGAGGATGATAAGGCAAAATGATAAGTCGGCTACACTCTCTGCCATTCCTCCACTTTCTCTGCCTTTCTTTGCTTATTCCTGTACTTGTTTTATTTCCACCATTTGATCACTGTTGTGCATCAGAAACCGTTGATTACTAACGGCCTTGCACTTTATATTCTCAGTGTAATGAGTTCACTGAGGCAGAGAAGATAAACAGTAACTTTACACTTTTAGCTTTCATCTTCTTCCTCTCGCACTTGCTTCGTTTCTCTGTTTTACAGGTGAGCTGATCGCCGATCATCAACTTCAACAGATCGCACCATGCTGGAAGACGGATCGGAGCTCGAGCGGTAAAATGAAAAACTGTGATTTGCACATGGAGGGAGGGGAGATGGATCGGAGCTCGAGCAGTAAAATGAAAAGCTGCAATTCGCAAACGAAGGGGGGAGATGGATTGAAGCTCGGGAGAGAAAATGAAATCGTGGGCGCGAAAATGAAAGCTCGGAAGAGGGATCAGAGCTTGGGCACGATATGGAAGCTCGAACGAAAAATCGGAGCTCGAAACTTTGAATCGAGCGGCTTGACAAGTTTTTTTCTTAGCAGAACGAGCAGAGTTCGAGCTCGCCTTCTGAGATCGACTCAAGTTCGAGCTCAGGATCATGCTCGCAAGTCGAGCTGGAGTTGGGCCTGACTCAAGCTCGACTAGACTCATTTTCACCCCTAACAATGGCCAATGGTGGAGGCAATAGAGGCAATGGCAACGTCTAGCAATGGCAGTGAGTGGCAACAGTGGTAGTTTGCAATGCATTTAGACAACTATCAAATAGATAACTTTTAAAATACAATAAAAATGAACTAAGGGGTGAGTTTCAAATTCCGAAAAATTTAATTTTGAATTTGTTTGACATCAAACCAAACATCTACATCCTGAAAACACCTGCATTTGGAATACATTACACTCAAAGTCCTTCAAACAAAATAGCCCCATAATACTAAGCCCTTTCTATCAGTTCAAGCAATTTCCCTTTAGATTCATCTAGAAATCATATGCCCAATCTCTTTCCTAGTCATTGCTTTTAATATCCTTTCATCAAGACTGATGTTTAGGTTCGCATCGTTTGGCAATATTTTATTCATGAATTGTAAGCCCCACAAACTGTCTCATGCTGACATCATCCATGATCCAGTAGCCCCCCATTTTATTGGTTTGCCCTTCCATGAGACTTTATGTGCTTGACTACTACTCTTATCTTCATTATTTAGGATAATTTCCTAAATCTCTGATATTGAATCCAAGAACACAAACGAGCATCCTTAAGCTTTTTTTTCAAGGTAAATTGTCAGCAAAACCCAAGCTTTTCTTTTTTTTTTTTTTTTTTTTTTTTTTTTTTTTTTTTTTTTTTGTCTGGTAGTAAACAAGGTTATCAAAGAGCCTGCATACACTCCTTAAGCTTCCAGAACTGGTGCCACATTTTGAGCATTCCACAATCATACTAAGAGGTAAAGAAGAAAAAGAAACAATCATTTGAAGCTTCGGTTCCTGAGAAAGACAAATAGGCCCTGAGAGGTAACTACGCAAGCCAGTGCGCCCCCAACCAAACATAAAAAGAATAATAACAATAAATCTTCAAGAAGCCTCCGCTCAGAGCACTTCTGACAACAGAGAAATGATCAACAAAAAGAAAGAATTCTAAGTAGCACAAAAACAAAAGGTAAGCCCAAGGCAAATTTAGCATTGAACAAGTAAACACAACTGAAAGAAAAGAAAAAGAAGATTCTGACCTCGGCTTCAAGCCTTGTAACGTATGTGATAAGCGCAGCCTTATCCCTCCTCTTCACCGTCTCCTCGTCAAACCCCGCTTCCCTAAGCCGCTTCCAGATGGCCTCTTCCCTAAGAGAGCTTCCTCCCTTGGCTGTAGACGGCGAAGCCCTAGCGCCAGCCAATCGCGTTACACCGAAGCTCTCCGGCAAAGTAGCCGGAGGTGGGGTCGCCATCTCGCCGCCGGAGGCCAGGTTTCCAAACCCTAGATGATCAATTTCCCAGTGTGCTCGGCTCTCCCTGCACTGCACTGAAATCCGTCACTTCTCTTTCTTCTTCGTATTTTTCTCTCGAGAACAAGATTTGGAAACAAAAAAGATCCACCCGCGAGGCACGCCGCGATATGACGACCGCCAGTGCTCTCGTTCGACTGTGCCTGTACTTCTTACTTCTTAGTGCTTTAGGTTCTCGAAAAGGTAGAGCGGTGAGAGAAGCACAAAACTCACTGCTGGTGAGAGCAGCGAATTTTTTCAAATTTTGATTTACGAAATTAAAAATTATAGAAGATTTACGTATAAGTGTCACTATCATGAATCCGAAGTGGCATTTCTGTTCTTTATTTTCTTCTTTTTTTTGGACCGGGGGAACTTTTTAAAACTAATTAAATGACAAATGACAAATTTTAATTAATTTAATAAAAAAAAGAAGAAGTGTTGGATCAAATAATTTAATTGAAAACAAAAATTATATTGTTTTGATTGTAATGGAATTGATTTAAAGTTAATTTAAATATTAATTTAATTGAGGAATTTAGGAAGTATTGTGTTAAAGTCTGAAATTTAGTTGGCTTTGTTATATTAATTATGCAAATATAACAGCTAATGAAATTATTGTATATTATAAGTTTTTTTGAAATTCATTAATAGATAAAAATTTAAAAATTATTTTCAATGTAAGAGAATTGGCTTGAAGTAAATCTAAGTTTCAATTTAATAGAGAAATTCTTGACGGATTTGTTTAAAGTTTGAAGTTTTCTTGGCTTAATCATACAATTAGCTATGGCAAAAGTATCATTCAAATAAATTATTTTTCTTATAATATTATAAAATCTTTAATATATAAATCAATGTATAGTAGTTGATAGGGTGCTGATGTTGGTTTTTAAGGAAAATATCTTATTCAAATCACGTCGCAAAGTTTTAAAGCATAATTACTTGAAAATGAATAATTACTTAAATAATTTAAAATTATCATTGAAGGCCTTATCTCAAAATGACAAAAAGGGGTTTATGTGTATAACAATTAAAATATTACTATTGTATATTTAATACTTAAAATTCACTAATTACTCAACTTTTCAATTACCTAAATATTGTAGCCACTTTTTATGAAACCTACATGATGAATAACTGTGGAAGACATTAATCATGGAATCTCGCTGTTGATGGGACCGATGATGTATGAAGATGGATTATGAATAGGAGAGAAAATCACGGCGGGATTTAGCTAGAGGCATGCATGATATTTTTTAGAAGGGTATCAACCATATCAATGGCATGTGAAGGTGGTGACAAAACTGAATGCATGCGAAGGTGGCAACAAGAGCAACAACGTGCAAAGGTCAAGTCACAATGAATCGTGTGAGAGCACTACGAACGCACGAGGAAAGGCGTCCACAAGACGAACACGTGTGTGATGTTTTGAGAGAAGTTAATTAGTAAGTGATATTTTTTTCTTTTTTGTTGATTAAAGTTTAAGTGCTATGTATGAGTAAATAGTAAAGCTATTTGATATTTTTTATTAATTTCTAGACTCTAAAGATTATTTAAAATTAAAAGTATGCAAAAGAGATAATTTGGAATGCTAACTAAAAAAACAGAGATTGCTGATTATGACATCTAGTTTATTGAGAAGCATATAATTCATTTGACTTTCCACATCCTAATTTTGCTTCAAATTCATTAAATTTTTATCTTAATTTTGCTATTAATGAGTTTAATCTACTTAAGATTATGAGCAATACATATAATATTTAACTTATACTTTTTGTTCCTTATAATTTTGCTTCATTTGAGACGACAGTTTTACTTCTTTCTAAAAAACAAAAAATTTTACGCCGAATTCTATTTTAAAAAGCAGTAAGAAAGCAAATCCTCAGATTCTCCATTAATCTGCACTCTTTAATTTTCTTGAGATTTGAGGGATTGGGCTCCCGGAGCTGTCTGCATGATGAGCTTGTGGTCTAGGAAGAGGTTTTAAAAAAAATTTTCAAATGAATAGATTTTAAAAATATATTATTTGATTTGAAGTAAAAAAATATATATATAGAGTAAAATTTTGAAGTATTTAAAATTTATCATCTAATTCAATTTTGATGTATTTGAAAATCGTTATACTTTGACCGCATTCCAAATACATGGTAAATTTTTTGTCATTATTGTTGTCATCGCCGACTGTGATAGGCTATTTGGTTACTGCTGCCTACCACCGACCACCGGCGGGCAACCACCGTCTGGCGCTAGCCACTTGTTACCATTATTATTAGATTTTATATTTCATTTATTTTATATTAAGTTAAATAAAAAACAAATACTTGCATTTATTTTATACTTATCTAAATAACCCTAAACCCTAAACCCTAAATCCTAAACCCTAAATAATTTTAAAATATTTAAATAGATTACAATTTTTGTATACTGCATTTTTTTTTTAACTCTGTAATATTTTTTCAACAAATCAGATGGCCCTAAGTTAGAAGCAACACGTTTTTCAAATGATTCATGTGAAACACATCTATGGAGACTTGGAGCGCAGCAAAACCCTTTTTATTTATATATATTTTTGTTTATTTATTTATTTATTTCTTTGCAATTTCAACGGTAGAGGAATTTTCAAGCCGTGCACATTTAAGAAAAAAAGAAAATCGAGGTCTTATCTTCATTCTCCGCCACAAGAAAAACTTTTTGATATTCTTCAGTGAAATTTCAAAATCATCCTTTTTATTATTATTATTTTTCCCGCAAGAAAAGATAAAATTCGATCTTAATTTGATTTGGTACATTGGATGCAAAAAACAAAAACAAAACAAAAAAACCATTCAAGATTTTTTTTTTTTCATTGCTACCCCAATCGCATATTATAAAAGAAGTGATTCCTCCAACTCTTAGGGTCTATTTAGAATAGCTAGCTGTTTATTTTTTAGATAGCAATCATAATTTTATTTGATTGTTCACCTTGGTCTGTTGGTTGAGACCTTATGCTTCCAACCAGGGGCGGAGCCAGGATTTTGTTCATGTGGGGGCACAAAATATTGAAGTTAAAAAAAAACCCTCAACCTTTGAAGTTAAAAAAAAAACCCTCAACCTTTTTTATTCGGGCTTCGAACCGACATTTGTAGTTTTAATTTTTTTTAAATCATTAGAATCATTATAAAAATAGAAAATATATGATAAAGAAAAAAACTTAAAATTGAGTATAATTTATCCCGTCGAGTCTTCATTTTTTTTGAAATCATTGTAAAATCAAATTATTGTCAATACTATTGAAAATATCCTTTTCAATATAAGTAAGTAAATAGTCATTCATCCAAAAGTCTTTCATACGATTGCGTAAACAATTCTTTATAATTTTCATTGCAGAAAATGCTCGTTCAACTGTTGTTGTTGTAATTGGTGATATCAGAGCAAGCTTCATAAGTAAGAGCATTAAAGGAAAAATATCATTTTTTTCTAGTCTCTACAATTTTTTGAGCAAGTTTTTCAAGTCCCTTTAAATTCATAAATGCATCATTTGAACTCATATCAACAATAAAAAATTTGACGGATAAAATTTTGTAAGGCGTAACAATCGTTCTTTATCAAAAACTGAAAATGATTGACATGGATTTAAACATGTCACACACATAAGAAATTTTGTATTAATTTTATCAAACCTATTGTTGGGCTCTTGAAGTTGCATATCTATAACAGTGTAAAACAATTTGATTTGATAATGATGCCTATTTGTTATACTTTCAGTCTGACGCCTTGATCTTTCTCGCATCACAATTGTATCAGTCATGTTTGAAATATTTATGTTATTTTTCTCATAAAATGACCCAAGTTCTTTAAATAAATTGTCCCACCCACCATTTCTCATATTTTTAAGTCTTTGTTTAGAAACTTTTATCAAAATTATGACATTTATAATATCTTGATCTTTTCTCTGTAGTACTTGTGATAACTCATTAGTAACTCTTAATATAGTATTCATCATTTGCAAATTAAAAATAAATTCAAAATTTTGCACAGATTTAAGTAGATAATATGCTTCACCTTTTTGTCACTACTAGATCCCTCATGAGTTATTATATCGAGAACATCTATAATATATTCAAAACAGAAGAATTAAACTGATGAGTTAATTAATGGGAACCTCAACGAGTGTCTCCTCATCTTTGAAGAGCAATTTTTTTATTTAAACCTCGACCTTTAGTAACCTCTCCACTTTCCAAGCTCAACTATTTTGTCATAATGTTTTACTCATAATACATCTCATTTTTTCATGAATTACCAATAATATTTAACAAACTATTCACAATATTAAAGAACGAAATAACTTGAACATGATTTTTTGCGACTACAACCAATGCTAGTTGAAGTTGGTGTGCGAAATAATGCACATTATAAGGTGAAGAGTTTTCTTTCATAATTAATGTTTTTAGTCCATTAAACTTACCTTGCATGTTGTTTGCTCAATCGTACCATTGTCCACGTAGTTGTGTTACACTCAACCCATACTTCGCAAAAAGAGCCTCAATAACCAACTTTAGTGTTAGAGCTGTTATATCTCCTACATGAACAATCTCAATGAAACACACAATAACACATCCTCGTATATCCACATAATGTAAAAGCAACGACAACTTATTTTTTAATTGATATATCCTGAGATTCATCAAGTAAAATTGTGAAGATATCATTCTTCAATTCATTGATTATAACATTTGAGACTTCAATTGCAATAGCTTTTGTGATTTCTTTTTGGATTTCAGGAGCAATTAGTTTACTATTTTTAGGAGCACTATCCAAAATAATTTTACTAATGTTCTCATTATGGTTAGCAAGAAATGTAGCAGATCATGAAAATTTTCTTAATTATCTAATCCTCTGATTCATCATGCCCACGGATGTTAATTCCTGTTGTAAAAGAAAACGTACACAATCTACACTTGCATTTAATCTTGTGTGATAATCTATACGATTCTGCTTATAAGGTTTTTCAAAAGCAAACATGATATCCTTGTATCATTATCATTAAATCTTTACATTTTTGTCTATCAATGTTATGTGCACTATTTTTATTCTCAACATGAATTTGAAATCTATCTTTTTTTTTTTCAATTTCAGAAACCCTTCATATCGAAACTATCAATGCTAGTATGT